TCTTCTCATGAGATGGCCAAAGTACTGGAGCCTCAGCTTCAGGATCTGTCCTTCCAGTGAGCACTCAGGGTTGATTTCCTTTAGAACTGATAGGTTTGTTCTCCTTGCTTTGAGATCCACCCCACCAAGAAACAAAAAACAAATAAATTCATAGCATAAATAAGTGAGCTGCTGAATATTTTTTATCCATTTTTAAAAATATCTTTTTACATATTTAAATATTTTTACTGGCTGGAGCTGAAAAAGTGTGTACAGGAAGGAGTTAAATGCTTGCTTTCACACTGAATGTGTTCTCACACTTTCCCCATGTTAGCTGCCTGGCTAATCCAGACACATTCTGACTGGCCAATGTGGCCATAATGTTACGGTATGCAAATAGTTCCTTTGGAATGCTTGGGCATTTTGGATATTTTCTGGCTTTATAAGGACTAATTAAAAACTTTGAATTAGAGTAACAAGTGACTCAGTTCCTGTGGTTGGTTAAAAAAAAAGCTGACGGGTTTTTTTCCTGGTATGCAAATTTTATTTTATTAACATATTTTATCTCTTTTCAGTCTACCATAGCTGAAAGTCACTTGCTTGTGCACAGGATAAAACAGTATTCCTTTTTTAAAAAAGCATAACTTGAAAAGCCTTTCCCCAAATGTCCCCTGGAAGAGCAGACTTTCTGCTACATCCATGTCAAATTTGGTGTTGATCCAAGGTCCAGTTTCATAGTTATAATTTATTGTTTGAGGCATCCCTATTTTTTTTATTTGACTTGCGTAATGCTTTTTACCCCTAAGAGCAAAATATACTGTGTGCTTATTTATTTATCTATTAATTAATTAAATTTATACCCCGCCCATCTAGACCAAAGTCTACTCTGGATGGCTAACAATAATAGATAAAATAAAACAATATACAGTAATAAAATAAAAAACAACAGTAGTAATATAGCTCAAGATGGGAAAAAATATTCAAGTGATGACAGGAGGGAAAGCCTGCCTAAAGAGCCAGGTCTTAAGTTTGCTCTAGAAAATACCCAACGAGGGAGCCAGACAGATCTCTGAGGGGAGACTGTTCCAAAGGCGAGGGGCACTGCTGAGAAGTCTCATGAGAAGAGAAGACTCCTTGGAAAAGACTTTGATGTTGGGAAAGTGTGAAGGCAAGAGGAGAAGGGGCCGACAGAGGATGAGATGGCTGGACAGTGTCTGCGGAGCAACCAACATGAATTTGACACAACTCCGGGAGGCGGTGGAAGATAGGAGGGCCTGGCGTGCTCTGGTTCATGGGGTCATGAAGAGTCGGACACGACTAAACGACTGAACAAACAAACAAACAAACACTGCTGAGAAGGCCCGGTTTCTTGTTCTTTCTCTTCCGGCCTCCCTCGGCGTTAGGTCCCTCAGTCGCCCTTCCTGGCTAGAACGAATGATTCGGGTAGATATAGGTACCGCTAGATATCACGGTCCTAAACCATTTAGGGCTTTATATGTCATCATTAACACTTTGAAATCAATGCAGAAACTAACAGGCAGCCAATGCAAGGCGGCCCGAGTGGGGGAAATATGCTGATATTTTCTCATCTCAGTGAGAAGTCTGGCCGCCGCGTTCTGCACCATTTGAAGCTTCTGCATCAGTCTCAAAGGTAGCCCCATGTAGAGTGTGTTACAGTAGTCTAATCTAGAGATTACAAGCACATGGACCAGAGTGGTGAGCACCCCAGCAACAAGATAGGGACACAGCTGGGTGATCCGCCACAGATGGAAACAGGCGGAGCAGACCACTGACGCTATCTGGGTTTACAGATTGAGTGCCGGATCCAGATGGACCCCCAAGCTGTGAAGCTCACTTTTCATGGTGAGAGTCATTCCCCTCAAAGAGAGGGAGTTTCCCAAACCACCAATGGAGGAGCCACCCACCCTCAGGACCTCCGTCTTGTCCGGGTTCAGCCTCAGTCCATTCTCCTGCATCCATTGCAGTACAGTCTCCAGGCAGTGCTGAAGGGACGTAATGGCATCCACTGTGGTTGGAGAAAAGGTTATGTAGATCTAGGTATCATCAGCGTACTAATGGCACAAAGCCCCACAACCTCTGATGACTTCACCCAGCGGCCTCATGTAGACATTAAACAGCATTGGGGAGATAGTCGAGCTCTGCAGAACCCCACAATTGAGGCTCCACAGGGCTGAATCCCTCTTCCCAAGCTGAATTCTCTGAAAGCGGTCCTCCAAAAAGGATCACAGCCAGGCCAACGCCAGGCCACCAATTCCCAGCTCAAACAGCCTCCTCAGGAGGATACCATGGTTGATGGTATCAAAGGCGGCTGAGATGTTGAGAAGAACCAACAGAGACATTTTCCCCCTGTCGGCCTCCCTCAATAGGTCATCTACCAGGGCGACCAATGCCATTTCTGTTCCATGGTGTGGTCTGAAGCCCGACTGGAAAGGATCCATTTGTTTCATCCAAATGTGCCTGAAGCTGATGAGCCACCACTCTCTTGACTACTTTACTAATGAAAGAAACATTGGCGATGGGCCTATAGTTGCCAACATCGTTCACCACCACCGACTGGAATGAATCCAGGGCATTACTATACTATTGCGCAGCCATAATTACTATTCTTACTGTCTTCTCGGACAGAAAGGTGCCTGGATCCCAAATGAAGTTGGCTTGCATTTCTTTATGGGGACTCCAAAATCAGAGTTGAAAAGGAATATTGCTGTTGACTTCCATTTTAACGTTGCCCAGAAGAAGTTTGAAATTCAGTTGATCTACCCAAACAAAAGAATGCAACTGAATGGTAAGTGCTTTTTGCCAAAAGGGCTTTGGATTTCTAAGGAAAACCCAAGGTGTTTCTTCCCTGGTGAGGGGTTAATTCTGTCCCCATGTGTGGAGTATGTGCGACCCATTAGAGCAACAGGGCTCAATTTGATGCCGTCCAGAAGTGGATGCATCTGGTGGGTGCCACGCTGGGAAATGCTGCATTAAGTTGGATCAATTGTACATTCTAGATCTGCATTACAATAATAAAGTTCAGCTTAGACTTGTTCAACTTGTGTTTCCTGCTCCTTCCCAGTTTCACCTCTACTCCCTCTCTGTAGTGCTGTCTAAAATGGCCTTTAATTATACAGTACTTTTATTTAGTTAGTTAGTTAGTTAGTTAATTTCCTTATAACATGATCTTATCACAATTTGGGTCATATATTTGCATATATCATGATAATGCTGAATCCAAGTCCATGCTCTCATGTTTGTTTTTTAATGCATTTTTAAACTAAAAAACATTGGGAAGACCTGATCCCTTAATTTTGAGAAAAAATAAATTAAAAATGCATTTAGGAGTGAAATCTGAAATTTAACACCCTGTGCGGACGCATCTCTGCCTTAGTGTGTTTGTGGGTTGAAGTGCACTAGATTTTTTACCAAAAATGCTTTTGAGCTTTCCAGACCCATCTGCCATGTAAGGAATGACCAGGTTCTTCCGTCGGCTCTGGGTCTCAGACTGTTCCATTGTCTTTCTGGGTTCAGACGTTGCCTTGTTAAAGGTCCATTTTGGATAAAGGTCCATTTTGGGTATCCACAGGCCTTAAGGGCTGTCTTCAGATGTTTGTCTTCCTTCTTCTTGGCTTCTGTGGAGATGGTGATGTTTCTTGCTCTGTGACTTAATGTCCTGATGACGCCTAGTTTGTCTTGCAATGGGTCATGAGAGTCAAAACACAAGTATTGATCAGATTTCTGTTCCTAAGCTGTCTTTTGATTCTATGATGACTGTTCAGAAGGATTTTTGGTAAACACCACATACCCATGTGTGGGGAAATCCCCAGGGAACCCTGCTTGGAAGCCAGCCAAGCAGCAGTTGCATGAAAACCAGGGAGAGATCTCTGATAAATGAAGACAGACTACAGTCTTTAGTTATGATGCATGTCACCGGTGAAGAAGATGTCTGCCTGTAAAATGTCTCCAAAAATGTCTCTAAAATGTCTCTAAAATGTCTACCTTCTTCTCTGGAGGCATGTCTTTTTTTTATTAAGTACCATCATTTACATAAAGAGAAGATTTAGCCAAAGAGGGTTGAGAAACTTATCTTTTCTACACATTCCACACATGCGCAGAGAGAGAATCATAGAACAATGCATCTTTATACTACAATAACTTGATTATGCTAAACACCAGTGATGTATCCCTTAATAGCCACAAGATGGAACTTTAGACTAAAACTTCCCACACCCATGCACTTCATACCCACAAACATAGTAAGGCAGAGAATCGTCCACCCAAAAGACCATAACACAACATGAGCAATATAGTACAGTATATGTGGTCCAGTGCAAAGAGGAGTGTTTGGAGCTCTACACTGGAGAAACCAAACAGCTACTAAACAGGAGAATGGCCGAACACAGGGAGAATGGCCGAACACAGGAGGGGCAATGGTTCAGGACCACCATCAGCAGTGTTCTTTCATTTGAAGGACAGAGGACACTCATTGGATGACCAAGATGTACTCATTTTGGACCGAGAACACGGGTGGTTTGAGAGAGGTCAGGGAGGCCATACATGTGCATATGTATGTAGGGGTGGAGGCTTTAGATACAATCTGTCTCCTAGATATCATGTTGCCCTTTCATCCATCCCCAGAAAGATTAGGACCCTCCACACACCAGAAAGTTAACAACTGGTAACAACCCATGGCAATGGGTGGAAAAGGACTGCAGAAGTGGGATTTTGACTCACCCCAGTCCTTTGTCCATCTAACAAGTCTATTCAGAGCAGGGGGAAGTGAAACCAATGTGGAGGATCTATCAGGGGTCTCCTATCAACTTTCCTCAGACTGAAGAAGCTACTTGGAGGAGTAGCAAAATACTTCAATCTAATAAGAAAGAAGTCCAGTTGCCATGACTCAACTTTCAGATTACTTCACCTGGAAGACTGAGAATCTTCACAGATATGTTACTTAGTGCAATCCTATGAGGCAGTCCTCTATTATCCTCATTTTACAGATAGGAAAATGGAGGTTAATAAACCTTGTTTTATTTAGGCTATTGGCATGCATAGAGATGTAAGGCAAGCATAGCCCTACACACTTTGAGTTTTCATGCCGTGGCTAAGTTGTACAGTAGAACAGAAAGTTTTGTATTCTTCCTAAGCTGCAGAGTGTATTCCCAAACTATTCTTTGCTGTCATGAACAACAGCAACAATGTGTTGGTTATATTTTCTACAGGGAAGGACAGATCTGCAAGTAGTAGCGGGAGAGCAAAAGTACACAATGCAGCTGGAAGCAAAGGTGCTAAAATATGGGAGCCCCATTATATTTTCAGGAAACATCACAAAGCAGCCTGGCAAGAAGATGACATTTTCACTCTCCTTGAATAACCTACTAAAAGAGGCAGCTTTCATAGCAGGTACGAGATGAGCAGAAGGGAGCGGAAGGGAATCTTCGGATCTCTAGAAGTTGAAGAATTGTTACTCTTGTTACGCCTCACCTTTGATCAGGATGGCTAGGGCTCGTGGGAACTGAAGTTTAACAACACATCAGCTGTACATTTGCCATCCTGTCATAAGGGGCGTTCATACAACCTCCTCACATGGGATGTAGGCAAGCTGGCTAGTTTAAAAGCAGATCTGCAAGTAGTTGCAGAGGAACCATTTCATCTTTCAGGCTCCGTTGTGTATACATTGGTCCTCTTGCACTGTGTTGCCTTCACCCACCCCTCAACTGCAGGGCCTCATAGTTTTGATGTCACTTTTCAAGTTGATTAACTGTTATGACTTCTTGTAAAGCTTCAATCCCTGCCAGTTCCTATGAGTAGTTGAAGGGGACCTTCCTTAGTATATAAAAAAATAAAATGGATAGTCACCACTTTCCTTTTCATAGAATCATAGAGTAGTGAAGTCAGAAGGGGCCTATAAGGCCATCAAGTCCAACCCCCTGCTCAAGGCAGGAATACAAATCAAAGGATATCTGTCAGGTGGTTGTCTAAGTTTCACTTAAATGCCTCCAGTGTTGGAGGGCTCACCATTCCCAGAGGTAATTGGTTCCATTGTCGTACTGACAGCCTTTCAAGTATTTGAAAAGTGCTATCGTATCTCCCTTCAGTCTTCTTTTCTCAGGGCGAAATATGCCACATTCTTTCAATCTTTCCTCATAGACCTTGGTTTCCAGCCCCCTGATCATCCTTGTTGCTCTCATCTGAACTTGTTCCAATTTGTAAGCATCCTTCTTGAAGTGTGGTGGATTCAAGATAAGGCCTAACCAGTGCCAAATACTGTAGAAGGGAACAAATACCTTGCAGTATTTGGAGACTAGACTTCTGTTAATGCAGTCTAAAATAGCATTTGCCTTTTTTGGGTAGCCATATCACTGTTTGTTCATATTTAGCTTGTGATCTACAACAATTCCAAGATCCTTCTTGCTCGTAATATTGCTGAGCCAGGTATCCCCCATCTTGTTACTGTGTGTTTGGTTTCTTTTTCCTAGGTGCAATACTTTGCGCTTATCTCTGTTGAATGTCATTTTGTTGTTTTCAGTCCAGTGCTCAAACCTATCTAGATCATTTTGAATTTTGTTTCTGTCTTCCAAGGTGTTAGCTATTCCACCCAGATTTGTGTCATCTGCAAATCTGATTAACATTCCCTGCATCCCCTGATCCAGGTCATTAATAAAAATGTTGAAGAGCACAGGGCCCAAGACTGAGCCCTGGGATACCCTGTGTGCTACCTCTTCCCAGTTTGAGAAGGAGCCATTAATCATCACCCTCTGAGTATGATTCTGTAGGCCACCATGTATCCAACTGACAGTTGTTCTATCCCTTCAGATGAAAAGAGTCCCAACTCTTCAACAGATGGGAAGAATTCTGTTGCGGGGTCTCTCTCCTTCCCTGGATATGGGAAATATAATAAACAAAGCAAAACAACAGGGGGGGGGAACCCCAGAAGAAGTCTCCAGGGCTAGTGGCGTTCTCTTTGTTCCCCTAACTGGGAAATTCTGTGGCAGAAAGTGTCAATTATTTCTTAGGAGGAACTTGACTTTATTTACATCCTAAAAGAAAAGAATTCATAGCTCACTTCCACAACATCTTGTTTTTACCACCTGTTCATCTTATTCTGCTGACCTTTTTGCACCACCCTCTGCTTAGCTTCTGTTCTTATTTCAGTAAGCGTAAAATGAAATGTTGTTGTTGTTTAGTCGTTAAATCGTGTCCGACTCTTCGTGACCCCATGGACCAGAGCATGCCAGGCCGTCCTGTCTTCCACTGCCTCCTGGAGTTGGAAATTCATGTTGGTAGCTTCGATGACACTGTCCAACCATCTCGGCTTCTGTCGTCCCCTTCTCCTCTTGCCTTTGCACATACAAAAGGGACACAGTATTGTCAAAGTTGGCTTCTTGAGTAATGTGATACTTTTGTCTAGTTAATCATAGAATCACTGAGTTGGAAGGGTCTATAAGGCCATTGAGTCCAACCTCCTGTTCAATGCAGAAATCAAAAGCAAAGCAGATACGACAGATGGTGGATCAATTTTCTCTTGACTGCCTCCAACATTGAAGTGCTCACTACCTCCTGTGGTAATTAGTTCCATTATTGTACTGTTCTATCAGTTAAGAAGTTTTTCCTAATATTCAGTCTTTCTGGGTGTGCATGTTGTCCATCTGTAACATAAATATTAAGACTCTTGAAATATGTTATTGCTTAGTGATACAGATGGGTCCATTGTCATAACACTACTTTATGGCATTCAACAACATTCTTGTGTACATGTGTAAACTTCCTTCCCCATCCTACATCTTCCACAGTAGTATCCTAATGTATCCTAATGTTCTTGAATATTTTTGTGTTCTTTCTCTTCTTTTGTTAGTGTGTTTGGAGAAAACGGCCGATGATAAACTAAAGCAGTATTCCCTGGAAGGAGAAACTCATATTCCAGGGGTTTTTGGCTCGCACACCATTGCCCTTCTACTACACCAAGGACATTTCTGGTCCAATGCCCTGAGGATTAAATATGGATTATTTGGTAATCAATTATTCTCCTCTGCTAAAGAAAAGAAAATACACAGGCTTTGTGCGCACTGTTTCATTTACACAAAAATTACAGAAACCAGTTTAAAAGATCCAGAAAGATGTTCCACAACCACACCTGATGTGGGTGTGCATTTTCCCCAGAGCTTAGAAATGTTACTTCTGTGGATTACAACTCTCAGAGCCCCACCTCCAGTAGAGCCAGTGAGGGATTCCAGAAGTTGAATTGGAAAGTTACCTCTTCCAAGCTGTGAATTTCATACATACAGCCAGAAAGGGGGCGGGTGGACAAACATGGGATTAGTCCTCTGAATGTTGTGTATGTGTGTGTTCATGTGCAAACTTCATCTGGCTAGAGCATGGTTCAGAAACTTATGAACCTCTAGATCAGTGGTTCCCAACTTTTGGTAGCCCATGTGTTCTTGGAATGCGACTCCCAGAAACCTTCAGTACCATCTGTGCCAGCCAGAGTGTCCAGGAGTTGCAGTTCAAGAACACTTTGGTTACCCAAGGTTGGGAACCACTGGTCTAGATTTTACTGGGCTGTAATTCCCATCTTTCCCAGCCACCATAAGCAATGGAAAGGGATGATGGGAATCTTAAGTGAAGAAACAGCATGCTGAATAATAGACCTTTGATTTAATGGTTGTTGTGGGTTTTTCAGGCTCTTTGGTTTGTTTCAACCAGTAAGAAATGGTTCTTCTTAGCTGCAGTAACTAAGCAGAGTGTTCAGGTTTAGAATCAGAGTATATTGGAATAGTGATGAATGGAGGAGAAACATAGGGCGAATGTATATAGGTGGCAACTGTAGGCAACTAGCGCTGGATAAAATAAGCTTGAGGTCTCATCCAGAGTCACTTTTCTGATGTTCTTTATGCATGAGCATAAAGTTGCCTTCTCTGTTAGCACTGGTTGCCCTTGCGCAACGTGAAAGCTGAAAGGTTCCACTTTGTAAAGCTGCCACTCCCCTCTGTCTCTGCATGGATGCTTGCAGGAGAAGCAAAACATCTTCGGCATGAATGTAATGTGGGCCAGAAGCTGAAAGTGGATCACGGTCCCCAAGATACCTACAGGCTGGATCTTGACCATGAGCTCCATTGTACTCAGATCCTAGCCTACAACCACAAGGTAGGCCAATATACAGTTTGTTCATACTTAAAGCCATTGTGAATTCTGGTTAATTACACCTAATCTGGATTTTCAGTACAACTTTTCTGAGGCATGTTTTATAGGGCTTGGAAAAATTAATGAGCTTATTCAGGGAGTTGTAATCCAGAAAAGGAAGATTTTCAAACTCTAATATTTTATTATTTCATTTCATGCCTCTCAGTTTTCCAAATGATAGGAAGCGTGAGGTGTCTTTTCCTGGAATCAGTCTCTGAGCTTGAAAATCTTACTTTGTTAACAACTCTCAAAATCTCACATCAGATTTGCTAAATATAAAGGTTTGTCTACATGGTTTCTCTGGAGTGGCTTGAATAGGATTGTGAGGAGGCCCAATATGCCATTAGGTGCATTCCTTGCATCTCAACGGCATATTGACCTCAAGCAACCCTATTTGGTCCCTGCCTGGTTACAGTTGCATCCCAGATCATGTTTAAGGTATTGACACTTAATTATAAATCCCTTCACGGTTTGGGGCCATGTTATTTGTTGGAGCACCTCTTCCCAAGGTTATCTGCCCGCACCACCAGATCCTTTCAGACGTGTTCCTCTGAGTGGCCACACTGAAGGAGGCCAGAAAATCTTTGACAAGAACTCTCTGGTATCATCTCCCTTTGGAGCTGTGCCTGGCTCCCTCCCTCGCTCTTCAAGAGGCTGCTAAAGCTGGCCTTTCAAGAGGCCTTTGGTGGCAGCCTGCTTTGAACTTGCTTGCCCATGTATTGCTGTTTGTATTGTTGCCTGGGGACGCTGCACCTTCTGGACTTAATGTCTGGTTTTGGGGTGTTTTGTTTGTTTTTTCTTTGCTATTTGATTTTATACTGTATTATTTTGTGGTTTTATATGTACATTGCGTAGAATAGTGCTATGCACTAACGGGGAGGTTTATACATGCAACAAACAAGTGAGCAAACAAGCAAACACACACACACACACACCCCTCCCCAGCTCGATCGAGGGGGGCTAAATGCCTTTGTAGTCACCCTGAAGGAGAGGACCTGCAGCAAAATGTTGTCACGTGGAGCACTGTAAGGTTCCAGTTAGCCAAATCACTTTCGAGACTAGTCCATTCCATTCATTCACCACTCATTTTTCCATCTTGTGGAGCAATATTTAATAAGCCCCCAGTACCTACTGGGCTGTTTTGGCAACCTCCCCCACATCTTGAAGTATGAAGGGTACTTCTCAAAACTCTGAGCTTACTGATACCTTTGCCTGTGTGGGTGCTGCTGTGTTAGTAGGATATGTGCAGACATCCATCCCAAAGGCTTTAAATAGCATATACCAGGAGGCATGTGTCTGTTGAGGACTTCAAAAGAGCCCAATGGGACTACAGTAAGTTTGCTTTTCTAGCCATAGAAAGCCTACTGAATTTGGGAAATGATGGAATAGGAATCTGGTGCAGAGGACAAATGGAATGGAGGCTCCTCAAACAGCACTTGGTGGGTTGGAATCTTGGACAGAAGAACACTGCCAACAGTTTGTTCAATTCTCCACTGTGCCTCCTGGAAGAAAAGTCAGCCTGTGTAGCTTTGGTAAGCTGCACAGTCCCAGAGCATCCCCAGCAGAAGGAAATAGTAAATGACTTCTGGGTAGTCTATATCTAGAAAACCTTACAAAATGTTGGCGTAAGTCAGAATCAATGTGACAGTACGTGATGGTTATTGTTGGTGTGGGGGTGATGCTGTTATTGTAGTACCTGTATACACTTTTTTTTTTACTATTGACCTCCTTATCTGGGGGACCAATATTCACTGATTCACTTATTCATGGTCTGAAAATATGAAAAATATTAAAAGAAAAATCCCCCAAAATTTATATTTTTAACAACCAACATACCAGAATTGGCCAATAGAGGGAGCCAGAGACAATGCTATGTGTAGCATTCACTATTAAAATAGCACTCCTCATTTTTCAGTGGGTATGGAAGTCCTACTATAATTGCCACACACAAAAAAGGGGGTGAAGAGACTGCAGTTGAAAAGGTCTTAGCTAATTGAAACCACTTTGTGGCAGATCCTAACTGCTAAGCCAGTAGAAGTGGCAAACAATAATAACAATGAGTGACCTTTCTGCAGATTCATTTGCATCATGAAGAAACTGTATCGCAGCTGCACTCTCAATTGGAGGTCAACTATGGAAAACACTGGGATGAAATCAACAATAAGAAGAGGGTGATTGTCAGTCAGACATTTAAAAATAATTCCTATCCAGCTCTGACCAGCTATTTTATGGAGGTAAGAGATGATGTGATGTGTTTAAAGAAAAGAGAGGCATAATCCCAAAATTTGAGACAGCAACAAAAGGCTGAACTACACTGCAAAATATTGTGAGTTTATTGAGTTGATTTGGACTGCCTCTCCAGCGGTTTCTGCAGGTGAAGCCATTTTAGCCATTTACATGGAACTGTTTAATTATCTTCTTGTGAGAGTCCACACCGTGCCTTCTGATCACTAAAGGTTTTACTTGCATCACTACCCTGTTGACACTGCTGGGCACCTTCAGCTGTTTTCCATTGGGTGTTCTTCCCTTAAGAAGATGTTTGACATGCAGCAGTGAATTGATAATGACAACTGGAAATCCTTCAGACGACACACTTCTGTCCTTTCTCTCACTTTCAGTCTGTTTTCCTCTTTCACTTTCTTTTTGGATAGGCATTTGTTTGATCTTCTTCATCCTTCTCTTCCTTCCTCTTCTCCCTCATTTCCCTCTCCTCTTGCCAGCATCTCACTCGCCTTGCTTAGAAGATTGTGCAAGGCAACAACAGCTTCCTCAGGAAAGTGACAAATTGTAAGAAAATGGGGGTGCCCCACTCTCTCTCTCCCTCTCTTTCTTGACATCAAGCCACTCATCAGAGATGGAAACATTTCTATGACAGACATCCCCATGCCGACATCCCATCATGTGTCCAGCCACTTGCCCAGTCCCCTGAGCTGGCTCCCTCCCCGAATGTAACTTCCAGTGCTCAAGATATTTGGTGTTTTTCCTTCTTTCTTTCTCTTCAGCTGCCACTACCGCCACCTTGCATACAGAAACAAACAAACAAACAAACCCAACACCATACTGGGTTTGGGTGCATTTGTAAGCAGGCATCAGGGGTAGTGTGGGGTGAAGGAGGAGGAGGGATCATCTTTTTTAGGCGAAAGATGTTGGGTACCAAAGGGGGAGGGTGGAAAGCAGTGCTGATGCAGTGCTATATTTGGCAGCAGTACCATTTAAAAATAGGGACGTGGTGGCGCTGCGGGTTAAACCGCAGAAGCCTCTGTGCTGTAGGGTCAGACGACCAGCAGTCGTAAGATTGAAACCACACGACGGAGTGAGCTCCCGTCACTTTGTCCCAGCTCCTCGCCAACCTAGCAGTTTGAAAGCATGTAAATGTGAGTAGATAAATAGGGACCACCTCAGTGGGAAGGGGGAAGGGGAAAGGGCCTTCTGTGTCTAGTCACGCTGGCTACGTGACCATGGAAACTGTCTATGGACAAAAGGCTGGCTCTATGGCTTGGAAACGGGGATGAACACCACCCCCTAGAGTTGGACACAACTGACTGAATATCAAGGGGAACCTTTACCTTTACCTTTACCTTTTTTTAAAAAAATAGATAAGCAATCATATATGGCAGAAACAGAAGGAAAGCAATGTGGACAGAACTATTGCAAAATAACAGCTGCTGATGGCTGGTTAAAATTTCTTCTTAAAATTTCTTCTCTGTGAATCACACTTCTGGGTTTTCCTGCACCTGAATGGAGCTACTCAGAACCTTCCGGAGCCTAAAAAGAATATTTGAGGCATGGCTCCCCCACCCAGTGGTTAGCGCTCAGTTCCTTTTCAGCCTTGGCTTTGGAGACTCCTTTGGAAGCACCTAATTCAACAAACCTTAAGCAAACTTTCCCCCTTTCCTCACATGATCTGCACCCAGAGGGCTTGGCCCACAGGCAGGAATGATCTCGTCCATCATTCTCAGATTCAACATTGATGGTGAGGAAGAAAGCATTCCCACACTGTAAAAGGTCCCGTACATTATTCTCAGGGAGTGATACTAGAGGCACCCACCACCACCAAACTGTTTTGGTGCCATGAATGGTATTTTCCACCACCCTTCTCTGAATATACAGGAGTATACAGAGCACTTGGACTGTCTTTGTGGCCTGCCTGTGTATTCTCCAATGTCAGCATATTACGCTCCCTGGCATGAGAGATATAACTATTTGGCATCCAAATTGCCAGAACAAACACGTAGGCTCTTGGTATTGGAATCACCAGAGCAGAGGCATGGGCACTCTGTGTCGAGATCACCACCAGACAGATCTCGCCACATATGGTGTTTTTCTAGTCATAGAACTGTACTACATAACTGTAGTATTAAGTATAGCTGAATCCTAAGTATAAGTTGTTTGGTTTAAATACAGCTGATACTAAGGAGCTGTTTTACTGATGTGTGGTGATGGAAGGGCTGCAAACAGTCAGATCATGGAAGGGTTAATTTTCCAGATTGCCCTTACTAGTATCCCCCAGCCACCAGGGTCACTGGCATGGCTGCTATGCGAAGATCTTGCCAGTCTGAGTGAGCAAGCAGCCCGGTCATCAAAATCAAGTGTTGGACTACAGTCCACATGTGATCATTTGGAGGGTTTCTATTTGTCTGTAAGTGAGAGAGGAGAGAATAGAGGTGTGCAGATTTGTGCTTTCAGACCACAGCTCCAAGAATTTCGTAAAACATGAAATGTACATCTCTAAGAGAGAAGCAGTAGACAGACAAATTGCAGGACACTGGTCCACTTTGGTTCGGTAGACACCAGACTATGCACCTCCATTTATTTTCAACTGTGGGTTTACTTTTACCACCCCTTCATGTGGACTACATGCTTAGTTTGTTATATGGTTTTTAATTATACTACTCTATTTTGATTAAGTATTTACAGTATTGTAAACCACTCAGATCTGAATGTCACGGACAATCCAGATAGTGTGGTTGCTGACCTTGAGCCAGACATCCTGGAGAGTGAAGTGGGCCTTAGAAAGCATGGCTAACAACAAGGCCAGTGGAGGTGATGGCATTCTAGCTGAACTATTTAAAATCTTAAAAGATGACGCTGTTAAAGATGCTGCACTCAATATGCCAGCAAGTTTGGAAAACTCAGCAGTGACCAGAGGATTGGAGAATATCAGTATGATTCTGATTCTGAAACCTTTAATGGCATTCACAAACTACAACAGCACAAGCAAAATGGGAGAAGTAAAATTACACAAATTAGAAGCAAGAAGAAGGGGACAGTTTCAGAACTGCAGATAGAAAACCTGCAACAGCAACGATCAAAGAATTACATTCGTCACTCATAAAAATAGAAAGAATTGGCTCTGATAAATTAGAAAGAAATGTAAGCAAAGGTTTGAGGGAAATTTTTTGGAAATAATAATGAGCAGGGCATTGAACCAGTGTATGGAACAAGGCATCAGGAGTTTCTGAACAAAAGGGACAAAATCTTTTTTCTCAAGGGATATTAAGAAAACAACCAGCATGAGTGGCAGAAGAAAAAATATTGAAGCAGGCTAACATAAAGGCTGTTCTTAAGTGTGGATTTACTAAAGAATAGAAATAGTTCGGAAAATGGTCCTGAGATGGAATAAGTCCAACAGAAAGGGGAGAACATACAGGATTAAAGTTATTGCAGAAGTAATTCAGCATGGCAGAGCTTATCCTTAATTATGGAATAAGTTGTGTGTGTGTGTTTAGTCGTTTAGTCGTGTCCAACTCTTCGTGACCCCATGGACCAGAGCACGCCAGGCCCTCCTGTCTTCTACTGCCTCCCGGAGTTGTGTCAGGTTCATGTTGGTTACTTCGCAGACACTGTCCAGCCATCTCATCCTCGGTCGTCCCCTTCTCCTCTTGCTGTCACACCTTCCTAACATCAGGGTTTTTTCCAAGGACTCTTTTCTTCTCATGAGATGGCCAAAGTACTGGAGCCTCAGCTTCAGGATCTGTCCTTCCAGTGAGAACTCAGGGTTGATTTCCTTTAGAACTGATAGGTTTGTTCTCCTTGCAGTCCAGGGGATTCTCAAGAGTCCTAGGGAGACTCATGTCTACCGAAGACTCCAGGGATATATTAAGAAAGAAAGGTTTGTTTTCAAGAAGCTTGAATCTTAAAAGATGAAGGTGTTAAGGTGCTACATTCAATATGACCGCAAGTTTGTAAAAC